TATGGACGAAGTGTGTAACCTGCACTCCAGTCAATAGGTGGTGTATTAAATTCTTCCATGGTCAAGACGTCAGACCAAACAGCAAATCTTATGACGGGTTTCAGACGTGGGACCACTTCCTGGCGTTCGATAGACTGTCAGAACTGCAAGGCTTGGTGAACCAGGTACTTGGATAGTAAGTCAAGTTGTTTCCAAAGTAGCCGCAAATTTATCTGTTTTGTCTGAATGCATTAGACCGTCTTTTGAGTACATGAGTGCACCTTCTTTCTCTCTCTCTCTGTCAGTGAAATTACATCTGGAGATAGATCAGAGAGATGGATCTTTAGCGCACCAGGTATTGATGCGGTATTGATGCTGTGTCGGCTGCGCGGTCATCCGGATCGGAAGCCTCCAGATTGAGACTACTAGGCCTGACTTAGTTGTTGCAGATGACACTGCTGGGAGACGCCGTCCTATCCGACTCATGGCTAGATCGCAGTTGGTAGCCCGGACCCGCATTACAGGTGGCTAGGGGTTTGATTACTGGGGTTATTTTGTGGGGCTCCATAATCACATCTGACACATTTGGCTCCCGTTTTACGTTTGAGGTTAGGATTAGGGTACCGGTTAATTGTTTTCGATTTTCCGGCTAGGGTTATGCCCATAGGCTCATTCCCATGCCGCTCAAACGATGCGCGCACATGCTGTCCTATCGATCCGCCCATGCGGCGTGAACGTGTTGAGATCGCGCCAGCCGACGGCCGGATTGGAGGGGCGCCCAGCCACTCAGATGCGTCAGCAGACCGGTCAACATGCTAAGAGGTCAAGGGCATGATCTGATTGGCCCAATTGCACTCTGCCCTTGGACATCCTACATCTACCCTTTATCATCAGATTTTGCTGTTGGGATTTCGGCAATAGACAGGTGTTCTTCGTCCATGCTGTTGCGTTCTCTTTGGGGTATTCTATTTCGAAGATTTGTAGGCTGGTCAGCTGCTAAGTGTTACGGCTAGAACATAGCAGACATTACAGTCTGTCTGCTGGCTTTTAGTCTGTTTGGAAAAAAACTCAGTGTCTGGAGTCTTTTATCTTAATACTTCCAGAGAGAAGCTAACACAAGCTTGGGAGGTCTGGGGTGTGTTGATTCTGACTGATTGTTTACTCGTTTTCCAAGACGGAAGGCTTTCAGCACTTCAATTGCCTCAGCGGGTTCCAACATATTATAAATCAGACCTTCGAAGGGCGTTTGATCTTCTGAAATCCACTCCTTGGGAGTGTTGGCGTTCGATGTGTAAACTCCCGAATAAAGAGACGTTTCTCCCTGACTACTTCACTCGTACTTTCTGTTGCTGTGTCGTTCTCCACAGCGAAGCAGCTGTTCTTTCGCAGTTCTGTTGTTTGATCCCTGATTTGACAGACTTATCGGAAGCCGTTGACATGGACGGCTGCGAACTATGGTCTGCGGATTCGATGATTGCGTAGATATTGTAGAGGAGTGTTCAAATGTTCAATGACTCTCCCTCCCGCCCATCAGGATGGTTGAACTCGATGGCTAACACCTGGCATCCACTACAAATCCTGCTTGCGTGGGGATTGCCTATACAGTCGATGGGACTTTATGAGATGCACCGCGGTCCTAGTGAAGTGGCCGATCGGTCTGCGCCGTCGGACGGTATACCTGTGATCGGCGGATGAAGTCGATCTTGTGGGGCGTCTTCCGGGGGGAAGGGGGGAGGCGGGGAAGTGAAGAATTCTATCATGCTCTTCAAAGTCATGTAGAAAGGAAAATATACGGAGGTGACGCTTATCTATAAAGAAAACTTAGGCGTCATCTGCTTAAGTGGAGTTTGCCGAAATACCTCGACAGCGCATAGCCTGGTGCACTTTTTTAACCTCCAAGCAGTGACAGTGTGTACTCAGCGCGTTGCAGTCATCAGGTCAGATCCCCAGGCAGAATTCCCCAGAGTGAGGGGTTTATTGTACACAGAATCCGGAGGCGGCAGAATCTCAGGCGGCAGAGGCCGCTGTCGAAGCTAGGACTGGTGTTGACTGAGTCCAGTCAGGCCTGAGATTCTCTGAGACAGTGGTGGCAACCGCTTTTGTAAGCTCGTGGGCAAAGCTCAAGTTGTGGCCAGTCAGTGTGTGTTGCATTTGCCGAGGGGTGGTGTCCCAGTGGCTTAGGTTGCGGTTGCAGAGGGGGAGGTACGTTCAATTGGCCGCATGGGCAGCTGCGGCTGTGCGGACGCTGGTATGCCCGAGTTGTCGGTCGTGTGACTTGAGATCAGCGCGTCTGGAACGGTTCGCTGAAAGAGGGTGGATGGCTTGGAAGCAGCGAGGTCTTGAACAATGGTGCCAGACCGGTCACGATGGCTGCCCACTACAAGATCAGTGCTAGGTGGACGCACAACTTATCTTAACACGCAAACATAAGCACACAAGAGGCTCATTGAAAATCGGTCCAACGGATGCGCCCATTGTCCCGAGTGCAGGTAAGTCCCGCCGACATAATTGTCCACATACATTCACAACTCATAATAAAAAAATTAGTAATAAGCTCGACACAGAATACAACGTAGAATAAAGTATCATCGGGCAAACAATGGTGGCGAAGAGTCTCCGCGACACCGCGCTTAACTATAATAATCAAGCCTTAATCCGCCGTCGAAAGTCTTCCAATTCACAAGAACCAAATCCGATCGAGATTTACCTCCTAACTGCCGTAACATGGTTTACTGTCATTATGTTCGAAATTGAGTGTGCGGGCTATGGTTACCTCTCAGGCCAGCTTTAAGTTGGGCGATTTTGTGTTTTTTAACCACCCAACTATTTACATTTACGTCTAAGAGCGCCAAAGGCCACTAAATAGGCCAAAAGTAACATTTCCGCCAAAGAATAAACAACGCTGATGCAGGAGTTGACACCGTCAGTGGACAGGTTGCTGTTAGACCGATTTCGACCTGGCAACTGGAACAGGGGAAAGTGCATGTCATTCTACGTAGGCAATACTTTCCTGCCCTCTAATTATGAATTGTCTTTTTCAGTCGGTAGGCCTGTACGGAACCTGACAGTGATCCCACTGGATCAGTCGGCTGAGATCTCGTGGGAAGCCCAATATCCTCCATTTGGAGACATTAAAGAGTACCGCGTAACGTTGGCAGGAGAGGGTGCAGTCTTCTTGAGCCTCCGCTACCCGGCTGATGTCACGCTTCCACAGAGGGTTCCAAATCTTCAGTCAGGCGTGCAGTACACTCTGTCCGTCGTGACCGTAAATAAGGCCGAAGGTGTCTGTGCAGGGAG